GCAGGGCGCGACGCTGGGCAGGGCAGCAGGGCGCAACGCGCTGGGCTGCAGTCGGGCGCGACGCGCGGGCTGCAGCAGGGCGCGACACGCGGGCTCTAGCAGGGCGTGACGCGCAAACTCCAGCAGGGCGCGACGCGCGGGGCAGTAGGGTGCGACGCACGGGCTGCAGGGCGCGACGCGCGGGCTGCAGCAGGGCGCGACGCTCAGGACAGTGGAGCGCGCGCTGGGCAGGGCAGCAGGGCGCGACGCGCTGGGCTGCAGGGCAGGGCGGTGCGCGGGCCTAAGGGCAGGGCAGCGCGATGCACAGGCTGCAGGGCAGCTGGGCACAGGTTGCAGGGCAGGGCGGCGCGTGTTGGGCAGGGCAGCAGGGCGCAACTCGCAGGCTGCAGCAGGGCGCGACGTGCGGGCTGCAGCAGGGGAGCGCGCTAGGGTAGGCAGTCCGAGTAGCTGCAGGGCAGCGCGACACTGTGCGAGCAGGGCCGGACAGCGGAAGGGCGCTTCGGGCAGGAACTAGCGGAACTATCGGTGGGCCCTAAAAACCTAACAGGTTTCCTGCCTTGGTACCATGTTATAATCAACTGAGCTCGAATGACTAGAAACAGGGCAGTACAGGTTTGTATAGGCTAACCCTAATTGGGGTTGTACCTCGTACTGAGTAATCCATTATAACCTTGCAAGTAGAATTGTATTTTGACACCCCCCCCATTTTTTCACTGTATTTGTAGCTATACCCTAGGGTGTTATGTCCGGGAGAATACGGTAATGGTCAAGCTAGCCATGGAGTATTATTTATGACAAGGTTCTTGAACAAGACTGTCGAATCTTACCGTATCACCCCGGATAGTAGCGCATATGCGCTTATAATAAAATCGATTTTTTTAGGGGGTGCGCTTGTAATTGAGGAAAGGGCATAAGAGCATGCGCTTATAAAATGGAAAAAAAAAAAGAATTTTGTTTGTAAGGGTACCAAATCGAAGCTCTCATGAAATGCAGGCGAAAACAGCAGCGACTCAATTTCCCACCGCACAAATCCTGTCCCGGAGCAACGCATGTGCCAACGATGACTCGGAAGCTGCCGTGCGGCCCCATCCCTTGTCATGCGTTGTCAGGTAGGGACAGCTCATCCGATCCCTCTAGAAGGGGATCGAATATTCCCTGCCACCGCAGCATGTGTGCCGCCCATTTTCATCCTCTGCGGGTTCAGGCTGTGGGGGTACCCGTCTATCATTGACGAGGACGGCGAGCCGCTTCCCCGCAGGGGTCCCGTCTAAAGTCCATTTCTTCTCATTTCTTGCTGGTTTCGAATCAATTTAGCATGTTTCGCCCGCCAGGCTGCGAAAGCCATGGCGAAATTCACTGGCACCCACTTCCTTTTCAAGAAGATGCCTAGGCCCGCCTACCGTGCGGACGCTGACGGCTGGTATTGCCGTATCCCACCATCGACCCCAGAGCCACCGCAGCCTCCGGCGCCGCCTGCGCCGCCATCTCCTCCATGGCCTCCTGAACCTCCAGCTCCACCTGCTCCTCCGAGTCCACCCGTGTTTGCCGGCCCATCAAATCCTCCCGTGCTAACGCTCCTGCACCCGTCGGCGTTCGACGAGTACCTGTCAGAACCTGACAGCAACAAGCCCCCCGACGTCTACGTCCCAGCTCCGGCCCCGACACCACGATGGGGCCAGCCGCAAGATTGTGCGTGGGACGAATCTGCTGTGGGCGCTGACGACGATGTGCCCAACACCGAGGCTGGCACCGAGGCCGGCACCGACACTGGCACTGACACTGGCGCCGAGGCCGGCAACACGGCAGATGTGTTTCCCGAGGGTGCCCCGGGCGGCGAGGACGACGACGGTGTGGAGTATTGGTCGCGCGACGAACTTCCCGAGAAGATCCCTATTCCTACGTTTCCTCCGGTTAACCGCAAGTGCCCCCACCCCTCTTCTGAGAACCGTGATTCCCACCCCCCCTCTCCCAGGCACAAGCCGTCGCAGCATAAGCGCATCGCTTATACCGCGCAGGAGAAGCTGCAGTGGATTGGGCGCATGGATGTGGCGGTGTCGCTGCGGTCGTTGTCTCGCGAGTCTGGAATCCACCGCAAGTGTCTCGCGGAGTGGAAGAAGGCTGCCGCCATGCTCAAGGAAGCACACTCCGCACGGAAGCGGATGCATGGGCGCGGGAGGTCATCGTGGTACAGGCCGATGGAGCTGAAAGTCTACGCGAGGCTTCTCGAGTGTCGCCACAAAGGAACTGCCGTCTCCGTCGGTCGCCTGCAGGAGTGGTCGAAGGAGTTCATGAAGGTTCTGTTCCCCGACGTGAAGTGGAAGGGCAGCCAGCGGTGGTCGGAGCGGTTTCAGAAACAGTGGAATCTGAGCGTGCGCATGAAGACGAGGATTGCCCAGAAAACCGCCAAGCGTAAGTACCGAATTATTGTACCGTGTGCTTGTTGTGTTTTTTATCAAAGTTGTTGACTAACCACTGCCTCTTAACATTGTCCGTGTGTTCGCAGACGTCGCGGAGCTGTGCCAGGCTTTCTGGCAGTACGTTCGTGACAAGCGGCGTGAGCGCGGCATCGAAACCCGCTGGATTATCAACGCCTACCAGACGCCGCTGTGGCTGGAGATGCCCGCAACGACTACTGTGGACGAGACGGGCGTTCGCTCAATGCCCATCAGGAGCGGGGGGTACCAGAGGGAACGCGTGACCGTGATGCTGGCGTGCACGGCCGACGGCGAGAAGCTCAAGCCGGGGGTCTTTTTCATGTGCAAGACGGTGCCGAAGGGTGACTTTCCGCCAGGTAAGAATACACCACGGTCAGCCGATGTTTGGTTTCCCAGTCGTGATACTAACGCCTGTTTCTTGACTGTCTGTGATATCGCAGATGTGGTCGTGGCGGTGCATCCGAACGGCTGGATGGATGCCAACGGCGTCATGCGCTGGCTCGAGGAGTGCGTCAAGCCCTTCATCCGGCCTCGGTTCGGCAAGCAGGCGAGGAGTGCCATGGTCGTCCTGGACTCTTACGGCGGTCATCTCACGGACGAAGTGAAGCAGAAGTTCGTCGACCTCGACATCGTTCTGGCGGTGATCCCGTCGGGCTGTACGGCGGAGGTACAGCCCCTCGACGTCTCTATCAACAAGTCGGTCAAAGCAAGCATCCGCCAGCAGTATCAGACCTGGTTTGAAGAGGAGGGCCAGGAGCGGCTGACGCCTGCAGGTAAGAACCCCATCGTTGATGGTTAGTTGGCTGCTTCTTTTCCCGGTGTATCCTGTGCTAACACCATCTCTCCCACTCTGACTTGTGTTGCAAGGAATATCAAGAAGCCGCCCCCAGGGCCTCAGATGTCAGTAATTTTACCCTGAATTCCTGAAGTTTGACCCCCGTTTTTTATCATGACCCTGATGCATCAGCCTTTTTTTTTCAACGACCCTGATGTTTCAGTGTTTTTAGATTTCGAACTCTGATTTTCCAGTGTTTTGTGTTTGAGGACACTAACGAGTCGGCGTTGTATCGGGGTCTACCCTGAAACCGAAAACTCCTTGTTTTGGCGCGCCGTCACTGTGCACCGTGCACCAAGGGGATTTCTGGCGAAACATGCTCTGACAGGGCGAATCTCTTGTGTGAGGGGCGAATCTGCTGCTGTGTCAGGGCAAATCTGCTGTGATTGGGCGAATTTGCTGTGCTGCGACAGCGCGTAACGACTGTGCGAGGTCGAATTTGCCGTCAGGGCGAATCTGCTGTGACGAACCAAGTCCGAATCATCAGTCAAGTACACAACCAGAGATCAGAAACAATTCTTAACAATTGTCCTATTCGATTGGTCAGACAAGATTTCTGACCAATCAGACACGGAAATAGCAGAATCCTGGCCGAATTTGGGAATTGTAAAGTGAGGGCAGTCTGATTCGCTGTGTTATGACAGCATACCAGTATAAGCAACTATTCTGATCAGTGTTGAAGTTGTAGAAACCCTGATTCATCAGCGTTTTATTTCTAACAACCCTGTAAATTCAGTGTTTCACACTAGACGACACTGAAAATCAGTGTTACCCGCCTAGGGACACTGAGTGCTCAGGGTACACAAAAACCAATCTGAGGCCCTGGCCGCCCCCTGCGGTGGTGCTCAGGTGGATCGCACGGGCCTGGAAGGCCGTGCCACCAGAGCTTATCAAGAAGGCGTTCCTCACCTGTGGCATCAGCAACGTGCTTGACGGCAGTGAGGACAACCTTGCCATGGCGCACTGCAGGGTCGTCGTTAGCAGACATTTTTTGTCTGATTGGCTAATATTCAGAAGTGTTTTTTTGGATTAGTCTGATGGGCCAGTCAGCATCAGACAAAACTTTGTTTTTGCCCGGGGAACCCATCTGATGCATCAGACGTCCCTCAGACCCTAGCGACGACCCTGGCGCACAGGCGGAGCCAGCTGACCTGCGAGGTCGATGTCGATGACGAGATCATCGCCAACGGCTTCTTTGGCAACAACTGCGAGGAGCCGGAGTCGGACGGCGAGTAGATTTCTAGTTAGGGGTGTAAATCTTAATGTGTAATGAGATCATTGGTAGAGAGGTATGTTAGTGTAGGAAATTGTTTAGATTAAAAAAAAATAGTGGAAAGATTACCCCCTGGGGGGAAGGGATGCGCTTATAAAAAGTACAGGCATTCTAGGGGGTGCACTTATAATTGAGGACTGGCCATAAGCGCATGGCTCCAGATAGAAGAGCTGGCGCCTTTAATCAGGCGGCGCTACTATCCGGGGCGATACGGTAATTACGTGTGCCAATCCCGATAAACTTATGATGATAGTTGCTGCGGCTGTTGAAGAAACTCAATACAGTCACATTCGATCCCGGCTCCATGTCTCCATGAAGCTCCAGTGCTGCTAGCTTCGACTCGTTCACCCACCCCAGGTCCATCTCCCTGTCCTCGCGGAAAATGACATGCTGTCCGAGAAAAGAATAGCATGCCATACCGTTAATAATGATCCAGAATCACAATCTCTTACCGTAACTAGGACAAATCAGCGTCGTTACGCATAAACACCTCGTACTCCCCCGACCAGTCCTTCTTGTGATGAAAATTGCTGCGGCTGTTGAAGAAATTCAGTACAGTCACATTCGATCCCGGCACCATGTCCCCATGAAGCTCCAGTGCTGCTAGCTTCGACTCGTTCACCCACCCCAGGTCCATCTCCCTGTCCTCGCGGAAAATTTCGCCCTCGCTGCCCTCGATGTCGATCTTGAGGAAGTCGAATCCGGGCAGCCCGAAAACTTTCAGGAGGAAGGGCACGGTCACGCCGAGAAGGGAGTCCTCCACAACCTGCCCGGGCTCGAGCTGGAGGGCGGGGATGAGCAGGCAGAAGAAGACAAGAAGTAAAGAGAACGTTACTACCAGATGGGACTGAATAGCCATTCACATGCTACAAAGCAAACCACCAAGAATGGCACTGAAGGAAGCATGCGACTCACATCGCGCGTCTCCTTGACCATGAAGGCCCACTGGGGGGGCAGCTCGGGGTTCCTCTGCCCGAGGGTGAGCGAGAGGGAGGCGACTCACATGCTACAGCTTCTGATGCCATCCAGAATGCCACGCGCATGCTACAGCCACCACGTCCCCCTCACATGCTACAACCGGGCATCCTCATGCAACTCACATCGCGCGTCTCCTTGACCATGAAGGCCCATTCAGGTGGCAGCTCGGGGTTCCTCTGCCCGAGGGTGAGCGAGAGGGAGGCGACGCGCGGCCACAGGGCGGCGTTGACAGCGATGACGTTGGGGAAGGGCTGGGTGTTGAGCTTCAAAGAGCGGAAGTTGCGAGACGACGCCTCCACACTGATGATCGTTGCCTTGGGGTACCTGACGGGTTACCAGTGGGTTTACGGCGTATAAAAGAGATGAGCATAGAGGTCTAGTGTTCAAGGGTTCAGCGCCAGGATCCGGCATTGGGAATTCAGCATTGAGGGGAAATTGGTCTCAAGGAGACGAAGAAAGAGATGGCATTGATGTCTGGGAAGGGCTGTGTGTTTGAGCTTCAGAGCGCGGAAATTGCGAGACGATGCCTCCACGCTGATGATTGTTGTCTCCTTGGGGAGCTGATGATGGGGTTACCAGGGGTTTCGGGCTTTAGGTTTTAGGCTCAAGGCCTGAGCTCTAAGATTTCGGTTGTGCTAAGGTGGAATATACGGAGGGGTTGATGGGAGAGCGGTCCCTTAGCGAAGAGCTCATGTGCAAACGGTATTACCCCTGGAATCAAGCTGAAGGCCAAAATTATCAATACATGGGTTTCGAGGAGAGAGATGCTACATGGTGGCAAAGAGCACGGAGGTGAGGCGTCAAGGAGAAGGTGAAAGGTATTAAAACGAGGGTCTAGATTTGACAAGCGGGGGTTCAGAAGTTTTTGTTTTGAACCAGGCTTGCCAGCGCGAAAGTGTTGACTAGCGAAAACCTGGATTTCGTGCGGACACTTTTCCTCCTCAGTAACAGTTCGCCAGGGTTTTTGGTTTCGGGTGGCAAATGTGCACCGTCGCTTTAAGGTCAAGAACAAAAAAATATTTTGAACGCGGAAAAGAAAGTGACCCGCTCACATGGTGGCGAAGAGCACGGAAGTGAGGCCGATGTTGGCCCCGGCGTCAAGAATGGAGTCAAAGTGGAAGTGCGGCTTGAGGAAGTTCTGCTCGCCCCACTCATATGCCTGCCGCACCACCAGCGTGTCTGATGCAGGGAGGGAAACACACACGGGGAAAGGGTGTGTATTATGGTTTCTGGTGTGTGTGATGGCCGAGAGACACTGGAGGATGGAGTGAGTGCAAAGTATGGGCGTGAAGCCCAAGTGGGAGTGCGGCTTGAGGAAGTTTTGCTCGCCCCATTCATATGCCTGACGCACTACCAGCGTGTCTGTGCATAGCAGCAGAGGGAGAGAGGCGGCAGGGGGTGAGTGGCGGTAGGGGGTGAGTGGCGGTAGGGGGTGAGTGGCGGCACAGGGTGAGTGGCGGCACAGGGGCGAAAGTAGTGTGGAGGGGAGAGCAATGATTAGGTTTCCATGTCATTCCATGTCGTCATATCATATCATTCATTCATGGATGTCATGTCATATCATGTGATTGCATGTCCTGTCAGGTCACGTTAGGCATGCGGAACATAGGGGTTTCGCATGCGCTCGTCGAAGCACAATGCAAGCAGGTGTTCCATAGACCCCACAAGCATGTCTGGCAACAAAGTACCGCAAGGAGCGAAGTGCCAGTGGTGGGCACGTGATTCGAAGACGCCTGATAGATGAACGACAAGGAAAGCAACGAACCAGCTAGACCTACCAGTGGCGTTCCTCTGCAGGTTATACCCATTCACGCACGGCTGTTCCTAGCTACCCCCAGGTTCTCATGCTGCTCTCAAGTAACCCACCAGCTGGCATAAACAGGAATGAGAAGCACTCCACCAGTACTACCCCCTTTCCAGAACAAAAAAAAAGCAGCCTACCAGTGGTGTTCCTGCGCAGGTAGTAGCCATTAACGCACGGCTGCTCCTTGCTGCACCCCAGGTTCTCATGCTGCTTGCACGCCAGCACGCACTCCCCCTCCTCCTCCTCCCGCACCCGCGCATGCCCCTTCTGAAACTCCTCATCCAGCGCCTTCCAGTCGATCCACGCACCCCATTTCAAAGCAGAAAACAAGCACCCAACAGGGACAACCCTTCTACTCCCCCAAAAGTAATTATATCTCACCGGTGGTGTTTCGCCTCAGGTAATACCCATTAACGCACGGCTGCTCCTTGCTGCACCCCAGGTTCTCATGCTGCTTGCACGCCAGCACGCACTCCGCCTCCTCCTCCTCCCGCACCCGCGCATGCCCCTTCTGAAACTCCTCATCCAGCGTCTTCCAGTCGATCCAAGCACCGCCATAGAAGTACCGGTTGCACTTCCACCCGCAGCAGTGCCGCAGCGCGAGGATGGCGCGCAGCTCGCTCTCCGTGTACGTGCACAGGCGGCGCGGGCCCCTGTGGGAGAGGCGGAGGACGCTGTTGGGGTTGGCGGAGGCCCCTGTGAGCGCGGAGGGTTCGAAATCCGCGTGCGCTGTGCTGGATTTGGCGATGCTCTCCTGGAACTGGCGTGTGGGAAGAAGGGAAGTGGTGGGGAGGGGTAGGGGGCAAAAGAGGAGGCCTTGAAGCCTCTTTCCGAGGGCCACATGCACCTTCCACCAGTGGCGCAGCGCGAGGATGGCGCGCAGCTTGCTCTCCGTGTACGTGCACAGGCGGCGCGGGCCCCTGTGGGACAGGCGGAGGACGCTGTTGGGGTTGGCGGAGGCGAGGGCAGTGGGGTCGGATTCGGCATGCGCTGTGCTGGATTTGGCGATGCTCTCCTGGAACTGGCAAGGGGGAAGAAGGGCAGAGGGGGAAGGGGGGAAAAGGGGAAAAACGGGATGGGGAATGGGGAATGAACGCGGAGGGTTCGAAATCCGCGTGTGCTGAGTTGCCTAGGCAAAGTTCCCTGGAACTGACGTGGATGAGGAGGGGGTAAAGGGGGAAGAGGGGAGAGAAGGAAGATGGAATGAGTGCCTAAGGAAGTTGGGAGAGGGTATGAGGTGACGCCTTGAAGACTGACGCATTTCAGACGATAATGTAGGTCAATAAAAGCCCATCCAGCATTACCAGAACGGAAATCTCCTGGAAGCGTCGGTCGAGGAGCTCCTCAAACGCGGCGGTTCGATTCAGGTCCTCTTGTATCGCGTACGAGCGCGCGGTCATGTTGGCGTTGTGCATGGTGAGCACGGCGAGCATCACCACCACCGACACCACCAACGCTGCTTGCAGCTGACGTGGCACGTGGCTCGCCGGGTACTTGGAGTCGAACACCGGCCGAGCCATCTGCGACACTCTCGGTGAAACGACAACTGCGATAACTACAGTAACTAAAGTTTGTACAGCAAATAGGGTAATTGAGAAATACCGATAGCTACACTAACTACGGGAGCTGAGGATATGAGAAACGGACAATGTAAGAGCACCCTCCCAAGAGGCACGGAGTTTTCTGGCTGTTGGAAACTGGTTCCTACGAGGAGGTTTCGTAATGCCTTTTACATGAAGCTCCAATGCAGTGGGCTACACAGCATCTGATTACGTCGTGAATGTTAGTGAGTGTACTTACGAGAGCGATGCTTGCCTTCGGAAATGCTATCTTACGAAGGTGCGACTGTTAAGCATGGCATTGTGCACTAGGCACTAGCCAGATTCAGACCAGCCTGCGTGAAACGGAACGGGATGGCAGGTATTGTCGGGTGAAACGAACGTTGTACTAATCCAATCCGGAATTTGGCGGCTGCGCTTGTAACGAGATGCTAAAGTCGCCTGCTAAGACTCGACTGAGTCGTGACAAGCGCATGCAGTAGTGAAAAGAGAGAATGCTTGATGACACACCGAGGTCAGACGAGCAACGCAATGAATCCCAAGGAACCGCAACAGCAGCACCGAGATCACTAGATTCAACCCAACGCCGGAATAAGGGGAGCCAAGGAAACAATGGAGGAAACGGCTGGTGAATCGACGTGTGCTGCAGATTTTCAGAAGCCACGAAACTAGGTGGAGTGATGAGATCCAGATTTCTAACTGTTACGAGTGCAATTGAGTGAACGAACGAGAATTGCACTATCGAAGCAAGAGTACAATGAGCGAAGGTATGAGCGAAGAATATATAGCGAAACTACAGTGGTAACGGTAATGGACTGTGGTTGTCGCGCGACGGGCCTGGGACTGAGGTTGGGAAAAGTGTCGAAGCGGAGGCCCGGAGCGCGGGTTACCCGCCGAGCCGTGAGGTCGGGGTGCGACGTGCGAAGGTGGCGGGCGGATTGTCGATGCGAGGATTGCGAGTGGTAACGGTGCTGACTGTGGCGCTACAGTGATGTACGCGTTGAGCAGGGACGCGAAGTAAGGAAAAAGAGATTTTCCTTACACTACCCCCCCCCTTAAAGAGGTCCTCCTTACGAAAGTGCGTGTACATCCCTGAAATTCCGGCTGCGCAGATACTCGGTGAGGACGGGGTGGTTTTCGATTCTGTCCAGGGGAACCCAATTGTCTTCGGTGGGTGTACGGTCCTTCCAGCGGAGTAAGAACTCGATCCTTCGGGCTCCTCGAGGGTCGCGAACTCTGTGACTCAGGATTTTCTCGGGGGTGATGATTGGTTCAGTCGGTGGTCTTGTCATGCTGGCTGGGCGATTGCGTGGCAGTTGGCTCGTGGACGGGACGTAAGGGCGAAGCAGGCTGACGTGGAACGAGGGGCTGACGTACCAGTCAGCAGGGAGGAGGAGGTGGGCGGTGACAGGTGTAAGCATGTGGCTTATGCGAAATGGCCCGCAGTATCGGGGGCGGAGTTTCGGGGTGATGGGCAGTCGGAGATTTTGGGTGTCCAGCAAAACTAAGTCGTCGGGCTGGTAAGTGACAGGTCTGCGGTGGCGGTCGGCGTTGCGTTTAGCGATGATGTTAGCTTTTTTAATTGCGTCTGCTGCCCTGGTCCGTGCTGCTTGCAAAATTTCGACGAACTGTTGCGCGCGTGGAACCGGGTTGTCGGGATTCGGGGTCATGGGTACTGTTGGATCTTGTCCGTAATTCAGGTAAAACGGTGACTGTTGGGTCGTGGCGGATGGGGCGTTGTTGTATGCGAATTCGATGAGTGGCAGTTGCTGTTCCCACGTGTTTGGGTCGTCGCACGTGGCCCGGATGAGCTGTTCCATGGTCTGATTTGTCCGTTCTGTCTGTCCGTCTGTTTCAAGGTGGTACGATGAACTAAACTGTAGTCGCGTGCCGAACTGCTGCCACAGGTTCCGCCAGAAGTTGCTGGTGAATTTCGTGTCTCTGTCGCTGATGATTGATGCTGGTATCCCGTGCAGTCGAACGACGGTAGAGATGAAGAGGCGGGCTGTTTCTTCGGCTGTGATTGATTTTTTGCAGGCTGCGAAGTGTGCCATTTTCGTCAGTCAATCGACGACGACCAGGATCGCGTCATTTCCACTCGCCCCGGCCGGTAACCCCGTGACGAAGTCCATCGTCACCTGCTGCCAAGCACGCTCTGGAGGTGGGATTTGAGAAGATTAGAACAAGAATGAATGAACTATGAAATGAAGTGAGTACAAATATGAAACCCTAATTAGTTGTACCCCCTATGGGATACCCCACTATAGCCTACACAACAGCATAAGCTATAATGTTCTGACACACCCCCATAGGCAAAGTGGGGGAGAACAAGGGGTCACAAGACCAGTCAAGCAAAGTAAAGCAAAGCAAGCTCAGGGTGGATCACAAAGTCACCACACAGTCCGAGCACAGGGTCAAGGCCACACGGCCAGTTCACATGCAAGAGTACACACATATATATAAAGCTAGACAAGCAAGAGCAGGTATATATATATGTGAGAGTACAAGCAAGGTCAAGAGGAGAGCAAGTGAGGCAAGACGGGCACAAGACCCAGCTGAGTGCAGAAGCGCTGATGATCACAAGGCGGAAGTGCCTTGGTGAAGACATCAGCAGTGTTGGCCTCAGAGGCCACGTACGCAAGCCGCAACTGTCCACGTTGCTGTAGCTCACGAGCAAGGAAGTAGCGGAGAGCAATGTGCTTTGTTCTGTGCTCCAGTCGCTGCTCTCGACACAAGGCCAGCATGGCCTTGTTGTCTACGTACAGGACTGGAGGAGAACGAGGCGGCTCTCCAAGGTCGGTCAGCAGGTAGGTGAGCCAGCGAAGCTCCTGTGCAGCCATGGCCCCGGCGTAGATCTCAGCCTCACAACTCGAGCCAAGAACAGAAGACGAGCGAGTAGCCCGCCACGAAACAGAGCCGGAACCAAGGCTGAAGGTGTAACCCTGTGACGACCGCTGCGTAGCCTGGTCGTCAGCCCAAGAAGCGTCCGCGTGCCCAGTGAGGACCACTGGACTCCGCCCTCCAAGCACTAGCCCCATGCCCGACGTACTGCACAAGTAGCGCAACACCCTCTTCGCTGCAGCCATGTGCTCTGGTCTGTGTCTCCCAGGAGCAACATAGCGTGCAAGAATGCTAAGAGGGTATGCAAGGTCAGGTCGTGTGCAGGTCATCAGGTACATGAGGCAGCCAACAAGCTCTGGGTACGGGCCACTCGACTCTACGGACTCATCCGAAGGCAGAGCTGAGAGCGAGTGGCGAGTAGACAGAGGAGTGGCCTGAGGCGAGGAGTACGTGAAGCCGAAGCGCTGAAGGACCTGCTGCACCATGTGTGACTGAGTCAGGGTACTGGTGCGGCGTGCTCTGTCCCGGGTGATCTGCAAGCCAAGGTAGCTGCGCAGTTCACCCAGGTCTGTGCACGTGTGTCTCTTCTGCAGCTCGGACTTCACGTAGGCGAGTCCAGCAGTGTCAGCTGTGGCAAAGACCAAGTCGTCGACGTACACGAGGATGCGGCGGCAGAGAGGTGTCGGTGCGTAGAAACAGCGACGGGTCGGCAGTAGAAGGAGCAAACCCAAGAGCCGCAAGCGTAGTCCTCAGTGTGTCGTGCCACTCACGTGGCGCCTGGTGGAGACCGTAGACTGGACGCCGGAGACTCCACTGGGTACCAGGAGGGAAAGACCCAGTGAAGCCAGGTGGGCGACGCAGCCAGATCTCCTCGTGCAGGCTGCCCTGCAAGAAAGCTGTGCTGAAGTCAAGAGAGTGCAGCTCATAGTCACGGTGAGCAGCAACGTGCAGCAGTACCCGAAGAGTGGTCATCTTCGGGGTGGGGGAGAAGGTCTGAAAGTAGTCAACTCCCTGCCGCTGACTGAAGCCACGAGCCACGTAACGCGCCTTGAAGACACGCGGAGAACCCGGCGGCCGCTTCACCCTGAAGATCCACATGCCACTGACGATGTTCGCCCCAGGAGGGGGGACAGCGTCAACGTAGGTGCCTGTGGACTTCCAGGAAGCCATCTCTGCATCCATAGCTGCCTGCCACTGAGAGGAGTAGGGACCCTCTATCGCCTCCGCGTAAGAGCGCGGAGTCGGGATGTCAAGTGCATCCGGGTCTCCCTCAGGGGTAAGCAGTACGGACACGAGATGAGGTGAGGCAGCTGCCAGACACTGGAACTCCTCCTGCCTGTCCTCAAGGACGTCCGTGCCAAGGGCACACTCACCCCCGACGGACGGAGGACAGACAGACTCAGACTCAGCGACAAGACTAGCAGCGTAGTCTAAGCGACAGCGAGCAGCAAAGTCGACGAGCTCAGTAACGAGAGCAGACGCAGCAGTAGACTCGAAAGAAGGGTCAGTGACTACAGTAGCAAGGAGACGCGTGACAGTAGGACTGGCAGCACGAAGAGAGTCCGACTCCGGGTCGGCAAGAGCAGGAAGAGAGGACTCAGGAGGAGAAGGCAAAGGGGCACGCAGAGGAGCAGTGGACGGACGCAGAGACATCCGGTGCGTGCCAGGGACAGGAGGAGGACGCTGACGCGAACCGCGACCACTAGTGCGAGCAGCACGGACAGGCGACGCAGGGCGAGACGCAGGCTCACGACGCTCAGCCAGACCTCCAGTAGGACCAGTGTAGGGAGAAGGAGCAGGCAAAGGGGAGGTAGGCTGCAACTGTAGCTGGGACGAGACAGGCTGTGGACACTCTAAGGGAGGAGGAGGACCAGTAGAAGGTGGAAGACCAAGAACCTGCTGCAGGAGTGGAACGAAGTACGGTCGAGGCCGCGCGGCGACGCTAGAAGCAGCAGGGACAGCACCAGAACCCTCAGCAGGAGCACCCGCTCCAGCAGCACCACCAGTAGCTCCAGAACCTCCAGCAGCATCAGGAGCACCCCCAGCAGAACTGCCAGCGGTAGTCTCAGCGCCAACACCCTCAGCAGCACCAGCTCCAGTAGACCCCGCAGGTCCAGCAG